ATCAGAGGCTGTTCCCATGGGAGAATACTTGCTGAAGGAGTGTTTAGATATTAAGTGAGGAAAAAAATTGGTAAAATATTTTTACAGAAGATGTAAACTCTTGTCCAAAATAACATCTCCATTTCCTGAAATTTACTAGTGCAATTAGGACATTAATAACCAGATTAATAGGCAGTATTAGGAAGGCTTCTGGAAGCATACCAAGTATTGGGTGTACAACTGCACATTCAGTTAGAGAGCTGTTAGACTATATGGGCATTTCAAACAAAAGGGCAAGGAGTGCTTCGGGCTCTACATGTAATGTTAAGAGCAGAGACAACAGAAAACTACAAAAAATAGTGTTTTGCAATGTGCTTATTCTGTGTGCCCCAATTGGAAGGCAGAAGTAACACCAGATATCTGGAAGCCAGCTGGAAGCAAATAGCTATTTCTTCATAAGAGCCTAAATGGAAAACAACAGGGAGGCTGATGTCAATGTCTGTGAAAGTAACACCTTTTGAGTCCAGTCATTGTGGTTTAGTTCAGCCTCAGCTCTGTCCAGAACCTGAACCTAAACTCAGGAGGGTATGGGAAGATTATGGGTTGAAGCATGGTAGGTAGCATGTATTTTCTTTCTGTAGTGAGGAGTCAGATGTTGACTCTGTACTTCTGATTTGGTCTAAACTCCAGAAATCAAATAACATTTCAATATCTTTATAAGTTAATAGCTTATTCATTAATTCACTGCTGCTGAGTGTATCTTCCTCATGACTGGATTCCTGGGTAGTACCTCCAAGAAAGACAAATAAGCAACTGTTATCAATATTTTTTTTTTGAACAGGTCATATTTTTTACACTTCTCTACTGCTTTGTTTCCTGAGAGAGCTATCAAGTAGATTTCATGTTCTATTATGCCTACTATGTTTTTACTTGCAAAAGTGACATCCCTTAGCCATAGAAAAATCTCATCTTTTACCCTTGAAAGATGACTTGGAAGAGATTGTTACGCTAAAAATTGCATTCTATTTTAAACTAAAGGATATGATGGTACAAATTTCATGGGGCAGTTCAATGTAGTTCACACTGGCTTTTTATTCAGTTGCTTTTCAGAATAATTTAATTAAATTTTTGTTACCTTGAGAATAAATCAAATGCAAACCAGAGGGTTTTCAAGGTGAAATGAGCCTAGGTGAATATAAGTTTCAGTGTAATTTTAATTTGCTGTGTTTGTACACACATCTGCTAGTTGCCTTTCCTGTTACAGAGTTTAGGGAAGTACTTGCTTTGGAAAGAAGAGACATTCAGCCACCATCTGGAAACAAGCTGTGAGAAAGCACCTTCTCCACAAAAAAAGAAAAATTAAAAAATTAGGAAACAGGAGGTCAACTGATTCCAAAAGCCACATCAAGAACTCTCACTTAAATAGAAGAAAAAAGGCAAATGAAAATTTTGCATAGAGAGGACTGCAGAATGAGATGTAGAGATGTTTGTCCAGCATAATGGGTTTTAACCCATGACACACAGACTTCTAGGGATTGTAAATTTCTTCTAAATAATAAAAACCCCAAGGTAATTAAGAAATGCAGGATGATTATTTCCCAGTGAGCTTATATTGTTCTCTATGCTACTGGAAAATGGCTAAGCCTCCAAAAGTAGAAAAGGTTGAAAATGACATCTGTAGTACATTAGCTCACCATTGTGGGAGCATTTGAACTGATCCTGTCTTTGGAGTAGCAGTATTCAGTTACAAGGTCATCCTTTGACTGCAAAGCACTTTTATGAACCAGAAGGCTCAGACTTTGTTCCAGGTAGGACTGCTGGTTTTAAAATAGAATTTTTTTATTTTTTTTTAAAAAAGGATTAAAATAAAATTTGAGACATTTCTAACATTAACTCTTCACTAAATACTTTTGGAGTCTTTATAAGATTTTGAAAACTTTGAGAAAACATAAACAGTAAGTAACTTATAAGTGTTCTTGTACATCCATGGTGAAATAAAAGAGGGCCGCAGTGATCTTGAGTGTGGTACTTAAATGTTAGCTCAGTCACTGTCTGTGTTGTATTGCCCCCACATCACATGTACCTGTTCACCAAGAGGTCCTCACTAAGCAGTGCAGGTTCAAGCTGGTTAGTGCCAATTGTCCTGGGCATCCCATCCCTGTACATAGGTGAACATTATGGGCCAGGTTATTGTTTAAATAGATTTATTTAAATGCTGGTAACAGCAGTGTTAAATATTCTTCTGTCAGTGACCAAATACATCATATGTATTTTGGGGCTCCTTTTATGGTTTCCTTTATCATGTTATCCACTTGCTAAACTGTATTTAGCAGACTGAAAGCTTACAGAGCAGTGGAGAGTACCTGAGAAAGCTTTTACTTGAAAGCAAACAGGAGCAGTCTCTTCTGTAGAGAACTCTGCTGGGCTCACGTTTTTCTTTCATAGAATAACCTACTGATTAGCACAGTTGCCAAGGAAATGAGAGATCCATATCCCATTACCTCCTCTAGCTGAAAGAGCTGTAAACCAAAACTTCCTGGGAGAATATACCAAAAGACTGGATTTTTGGATAGTCTTCAAATCTATCTTTTTTCTCTAACTTCCTTTTTCTCAAGAGCCTGAGGGATATTTAATTCTTGAGCCTAAGGTGTAAGGCACCCTCTGGTATGGCAGAATACCTCAGTTGAAGTCATAGGATATTTTCTGTGTTTTCTTTAATGAAAGAAAAATGAAACTGCACGTCTTGCAACAGAAATGCCATTTTGTGGATTTTTTTTTCCAGATTTTTTCCTAGAATATATTAAGCCTACTGAGACACTTCAGTTAACTAAAAATTTATTCTTTGTGTTTTGCATATGTAGCTTAAACCTCAAATCCCATGATGTTTCATTTCCCTTGCTGTGATAGTCTCTTGATTTCTTCCCCTTTGTCTAATGACTTTGGTAGTATCTGAGGAGAACTTTGGGGGATCTCAGTCACTTTGGGGAGTCAACTCCCATTCTCAGAGTTCCAAAAGCTCTGGGCTTCCTCACATAAAATTCACTACTATAGTGAAGAGTTAAAGTCACTATATAATGTCACAGAATATGTCATTACATTAATATTATTACATTATTACATAATGCCACAGCCTTTTAAACCTTTGTCTTAATTATGAATCTGTAGACTGTGTCCAGAACTCCGTAACTTGGCTCCAAAATAAATGAGACTAGGCAAATAATATGTATCCTATAGTACTTGCCAACAACAGTTATGAAGAAAATTGTCTGTTGCCTAGAAAAGACAACACTGATGATGCTGCAACATTAGCAGTTTACAAGAGTATGCTTTCAGAGTGTTTTCATAACCCAAATAATTATGAACAATGGGAATGGGGTGTTTGTTATAAACTTTACTTAATTTCAGTTCACTGCTATTCACATGCACATTATGCCCTAGACTTTAGTGAATTTTAATTAAACAGAACATCTAAAGATTGCAGTGAGTGTTTTTGAGAATATTTCATGAAGGAATGCTGCTTTTGAGAAGGCTTTTTCCTTTCTATAGTTTCAAGAACACAAAATGTAAACTTGTTTGTAGGTAAAGCCACAGATCTTTGCTCTTTTGGAGGGTAGTAGTGGAATCAAGAAAATGGCTGTCTTTGCTAAAATAATTCTTGTGTCTTTCCCATCCATGACAAAAGAACACAAAAATTCCTAAATAGCTTCTTCAGTGAATTCATTGGGAGATATTTTCTCTCCTTCTGTGTTAAAGAAGAAACTAAATATATGACGGAGGAAAAAAAAGGTATCATTGGTAGTATTTAGGTATTTTAATAAAGCACAAGATTTCAGTAAATTTTAGCACCCTGTAAAGTTTCAACAAACTGCTGTTCCCTTGTTAACATAATGAGGAACAGGGAAAGATGAAGCATTGGGTGCTATATTTCTTAGGGCACCCATTTGGAATAATTTTTGTCTGCAAAAAAGCACTGCCTGCATTTCCTTTCCTCCCAGAAACTGCTAAGCTCAGAGCGAGCATTGCTATGGTGATAACGTATTGAATTTTTCTCACAGAGCAAAGGAATAGAATCCCTTCTATATCTGAAAAAGATGCATTTTTTTACTGCTTATCTGTGACTGGTGCCTTTAGCCCTTTCCAGGAAAGGCTTCCAAAAACAGTAATAGTTATATTTTTGTTTTTAAGCCAAGAAAAGTTACATCACAAACAAAGAAAACAGTATTACTAGCAATTTTAAATATTAAGGCCAAGAATAGCTGTGAATAATGAAGTGCTAGAAAACATCACTTAAATTTTCAGGTTCCGCTGTGAGTCATTGTTCAGAAATAAAAAAAGGGAAGAAATCAGTTTATGATACAGATAATTCATTTTGATCTCAGGAGAAAAGGACTTTAAAAAAGATGAATGTAGCAGAGAAGAGGCATCCATTGTGTAAGTGGAAATTCAGCTGCTCTCCACCTTCTTCATGAGGCCTGTTGCTATCTCATATCAAAGTAATGAAAAACCACTGTGACACAGAGAGGACTAGGATATGTGTGTTTGCCACAAAAATGTTCTTAGCAGCTGTGTAGCAACAGTTTCTGGGCTTTTATATTATTTCTCATCTTTGCCTAAGCCAGAGAGACACTTTTGTGCTATACAGGAAAGGGGATGTGCAAATTGTCATCTCAGTGGCTATTGAGATTGGTGTTTCTGCTCCTGAATTTTCCTTCTCTACATCTACAGCTGAAAATGACTTCATATAAAGGAAGAATACCTTCCAAAAACAAAAAAAAAAGAAAAAAAAAAAAGAAAAGAGAAGAAGAAAAGAGAAGATCAAAAGAGGAGATGAAAAGAGGAGAGGAGACTCGAGGAGAAGAGAAGAGAAGAGAAGAGAAGAGAAGAGAAGAGAAGAGAAGAGAAGAGAAGAGAAGAGAAGAGAAGAGAAGAGAAGAGAAGAGAAGAGAAGGTGAAGTTTTAGAAAATTTAAATGTTTTAATCTTTTAAAATTGCCTCAGAAACTGGTCTAACTATGGACTTACCAGTGTTAGGTGAAACAATTTGCCAATTTGCTGTTTGTTGAATGGTGAAAGAAATACTCCTTGTTCCTGCTAATTTCTAGCAAAGTGATACTAGTGGTCTTCTTGAGGTTATCTAAAACAGAGAAAATATGATTTTAGAATTCTGTTTTGAATTAAAATTTGACATTTTTCAGAGCATTCTAACTATTTAGACCATTTTGAAAGTTCTAGATGGGTTTTTATATGCTTATGGAGGATATGGACCCAGGATATATTACAAATGCAGAAAATCCTTTAGATGCCAGCTCTATATTAAGTTTTTCTCATGTGCAAATAGGAGAATAGATTAAAAGTGGTGGTCTTATATCAGTCTATTTCAATATAATGTACAATATGAATCAGAATATTTCTCATATGATTTCCTTAGAAACTGAATGAGAGTAGAAAGTTGGAGGAAAAAAACACTGTAGGGTTTGCTTCTACATCTTAAATAAAAAAATTCTAAGGATCATTTTATTGAAAATGAAGATCTATTTGAATATCATTTTGGTTTGCATCTGATAGTACTTTTAGAAATTAATTATTTAGAAGTAAACATTAAAGTATTAATATCTGAATTTTACATTACATCATTATATTACTGTGTAGATTGTACTTTCTAATAACTTTCAAAGCACTGATATTTCTTCATAAATACATATGAAACAATTTTTAAGCACAGTCAAAACTTAATTCTCCAAATTTAACATTTGAGGCAGAGAAGAATTCAATGAAAAACTACTTAGCAGCAGCCATAATAATGGAAGAATCAATAATATTAGTAAATGTAAGAGAAATCAACCTTTTATTTATCAGTATAAGCTTGATTTTACTGTAAGCATTTTAAAATGCATTGTCAAGCCCATCTATAAGAAGGGCCAAAGTGATGATCTAGGAAACTACAAGCTCATTAATCTTACTTCAGTTTTTGGGTAAATGATAGAATTAGTCCTCCTAGAAATTACTGCCTTCCAAATGAAGCAGGTGATTGGGAAAAATCAGCACAGATTTACCAAAGGTGAATCACGCCAGATCAACCTGAGTATCTTCTACAACAGCATAACATCTTCTGTCGACATGGGGAGAGCACTGGTTGTTGTTTTCCTGGAGTTCAGCAAAGCATTTCACACGGTTTCCCACAGTTTTCTCCTAGGCAAACTGGCAAGATAAAGATTAGATGTGTGATCTGTGAGATGTGTAGCAAAGTGGCTGACAGGCTGCACTCAGAGGGTGGTGATCAATGCTTTTTACCCAGGCTGGCAGTCTGTTGCCAGCAGGGGCCCTTAGGGATCAATACTGGGCTCCTGGCTGGTAAACATCTTCATAAATTATCTGGATGGAGGGGTTGAAAACATGCTCACCAAGTTTGCTGATGATGCCAAATGGGGATAATGAGGTGGGCTTGTCAGGAGAGAGAGGCCTTTGTCAGAGAGACAAGCAGGAAGAGTGGGCCAGCAAGAACTGCATGAAGTCTAACAAAGGCAAGTGCAAGGTCCTGCACCTGGGATGACATAACCAAAAGTCCCAGTGCAGGCTGGGATCTGTGTGGCTGGGAGCCACACAGGTCTTTCTGTGAGAGACCTTGGGGTCCTGGTGGAAAACATGGACATGAATCAAGCTGCAGCAACAAAGGCAAATCAAGTCCTGGGCTGCATCCATGAGGGCTTTACTAGCAGAGATAAAGATGTGGTCACACACTGTATTCAGCATGTATTAGGCCACACTTGGAGTACTGTGTCAGATCTGGTGCTCACCATTCAAGAAAGATGCAGACAGTCTGGAGAAAGTCCAAGGAAGGGCCAGGAAAATGATCAAAAGTCTGGAGAACCTGTCCTGTTGGGAATGATTTAGGGAATTAGGTCTTTTCACCCTGGAGAAGAGAAGACATAGGAGAGACCTCATTGTGGTATTCCAGTACTTAAAGAGCAGCTGAAAAAATGACAGTCTCTCTTTTCACTGGGAGTCTCATGGAGAAGACCAGGGCAATGGGTTCAAGTTACACCAGGAAAGGTTTCATCTTGGCATAAGGAAGAAATGTTTCCAGTGAGACCAACTGGTCACTGGAACAATCTCTGCAGGGATGCATTAGAGTCCTTATCATAGGAGGCTTTTTCCAAGATGCAATGCTACAGGATTCCAGACAATGTCATCTAGGCTCCCTTTCCCATGAAAGGCTGGATCAGGTAATGCTTCATGTTCCCTTCCTGAGGTCTGTGACAGTCTGCTTATTTAGTTGTCTTGTATAAACATCAAGTCAAATTATTTCCAGGTATCTTGTAACTGATAGTATGTCTCTGGGAGAAATTGAAATGCTGTTTTAATTAGATGGTCAAATGAACATCTGAAGTAGTCAGCTGCAGAGTGAGGTTTATAAGTTCCTTCCTTCCTTCCTTTGTTTTGTTTTGTGTTGAACATTTAAAATTTATATTTAATAAATGTAGACATTCTGGAGTTCAGAATAAGTGTTTAACATTAGATGCAAAACTAACCAAAACAGTTACTGAAATACTTTTGCGACCTAGTTTTTTGCGATCAGTTTGGGGAAGAAATAGAATATTTCCACATTTTATGGTAGGGCAGACATATATAATGAGTCTATATAATATAACAAGTGAATTATTTTTATTAGCTCATCTGCAGTAATTCTGTGTCACAAAATTCTTGTCAAGGACATTGAATTTTATCATTCTGATCATGATGGATGCTATAAATCATGAAATCTCACTGAACTCAATTTATTAGAAACCTGAATCTCTCCTGAGAGAAAGGCATTGCCTGGTAATATGAGCTTTTTATTATGAATCAGAAATGTCTTTGTTTTGCCTTACTGGACTTCAGTGCTTTCCACTTAGTGTGGGATCTATCATGAATCAGAAATGGAGCATTTATCAAAAATGCAATGATGCTTTTCATTTTAAAGTGTAGTGGTATGTAATAGTAGGAACACCATGTCCTGTGTTGGTCACTGTGCTCTTCTAAAACTTAGGTGAACTGGAAAGTGTTCAGAGGAAATCAAAAGAATTATAAGAGGGTTAAAAAGTTTAACCATGAGGAAAGGTTGAAGAGCACAGATACCACTGTGAAACCACTGTTGGTTATCTTTGAAAGCTGATGGTGATTGAAGGAGGTCCCTGATGACTGGGAAAAAGCAGATGTTACATGCTTTTCAAAAAGGGCAGGAAGAATGATGAAGCGAATAATAGGTTACTCATTCTCCCTTCACTCTCTCAGAGGATTATGGAGAAAGACCTCATGGAAATTGTTTTCAAGCATGTGAAGGACAAGAATGTGTTTGGGAACAGACAGCATGGATTTACTAAGGCTGAAGTATGCTTGCCTGATTGCCTTCTTAGATGCCAGTGACTTTGTATGGGCTGGAGGGAGCGGTGTATGTCATTTGCCTTAGAACAAGCAAGGCCTTTGACAATAATCTCCCATAACATATATGTAGTCTAGAAGAGGAGATGGAGTCTGGATGGAACACATACTGGATTAAAAACTGTCTGAAACAGGGTTTATGGTAGTGGCCAACAAATTGAAGTCTAACTGGCAATGATATTCCTCAGTATTGTGATTTAACCCCATCTGGAAGCTCAGTGCCATGCAGCTGCTCACTCACTCCCCCTGTGCTGGGATTCTGGAGTGAACTGGAAGGGTAAAAGCGAGAAAACTCATGGCTTGAGATAAAGGCAGTTAAATAGACAAAGGAAAAAACTGCACTTGCAAGCAAAGCACAACAAGGAATTCATTCACCACCTACCGTGGGCAGGCAGGCATTCAGCCATCCCCAGGAAAGCAGGGCCCCAATATGCATTATGGTGACTTGGGAGACAAACACAATTATGCCACACATCCCCACTTCCCTCTCCTTCCCCAGCTTTATATGCTAAGCATGACACCATATGGTGTGGGGTATGCCTTTGGTCAGTGCTGGGGTCAGCTGTTCCAGCTCTGTCCTCTCCCAGCTTATGCAAGCCCAGCCTCTTCACCAGTGGCGTGAGGTGAGGAGCAGAAAAATCCTTGACACTCTGTAAGCACTGCCCAGCAATAACTGCAACATCCCTGTAGTATCAACACTGTTCCCATCAGAAATGCAAAACATAAGCCCATATCAGCTACAACAAAGATCACCCCAGCCAAAAACAGCACAATCAGGGGCCGGTATTGGGATGATTCTACTTAACACTTTCATGAGATGAACCTTGTGGAGTTTAGCAAAAGCAAGTGCAAAGTCCTGCATCTGAAATAGAACAAATGCATGAAGCAATATACTCTGTTGTGATAGCAATAGCACAGAAAAGGACCTTGAGGTGTTGGTGGCCAAAAAATTGAATGTGAATCACCAGATTAGAGGATAGGTAGCAGGTCAAAGTTGTCAAAGAAAGTATTTATCCCCTTTTACCTGGCATTGTGAAGGCTACATCTGCTATATTGTGTTCAGCTTTGTGTACCCCAGTACAAAAGTTAGTCCAGCAAAGTGTCATTAAGAAGATTGAATGACTGGAGCACATATTGTCTGAGATGGAGTGAACTGGTTTTGCTTGATCTGGAGAAGAGAAAGTTGAAAAGGGGCTAAGTTTCTGTCTTCAGTGACCCAAAAGTCCCTTGTAAAGACAGACTCTTGTAGGACGTGAATGGCAAAAAGACAAGAGATATATAATTGCCACAGGATGCAATAAAGAAAATTGTAACTGAATATGAGGAACAAAATTTCCAGGTGAAAATTGTTAGGCACTTGAATAGATTGCCAAGAAATGTAATGAAATTTCCACCCTTGGAAGTTTCCCTGAGCAGCCCTATATACTCTTCCATTCTGTTCACTCCGCTGTTAATGCTTCTAGAAAGACAAATTGGTCAATATGTTTTTGGTTAAAAAATAAAATCTTGCCCTAGGAGCACAAGAAAGATCTTTGAGATACTTTCCAGAACTTCATGTCTATGAATCATTTAAGGCTAGCCCTACAAAACATAAATTGTGTTTCACAGCAGCTAGATGTTGAGTTCCTTGATAAATATTAAAATTTATGCCTGCAAATAAGACATAAAGAATAAGGCTTTGTCTGGAGCTCTGGAGTATTCAGGCGCCCAAGAAATGGAGTCACAAAAACCAGTTTGTGGATGCACACTGAGAAATGTGAATAAACATAAATGTATACATGACAGATAAATCCTTTTTTAAGTTTAAGGAATTTATTCAGCCTTGTCTGAACTTGTGATATGGTCAGTTTCTGCCCATAGTAGGGACCTATTGCAGAGTTGTGTTTATGTAAATATTACAGAGCACAGGTAGAAACTAGACATTGAGGTGTTTTCTCTCTTGGCTTTTTTTCTTTTTTTTTTTTCTTCTTTTTCTTTTGAATCAGCTGTTCAATTGTTAGTATACTCAGCAAGGTTAGACAAGATGCTGTGAGAATTAATGCCAAGTCAGCATTTCTTAAGTGCTTTGAAGATAAAAGACCATATAAAGCACTAATTATCAGTACTAATTAGCATCCCACCAAACATGACTCACTGGCTGGTTTTTCAAGTCTTTAAAGGGTTGTCAGCAATCTTCTGGAAAGCCTGAAAACCTTTTTCTCACAGACAGAAAGTGAGAGCTGGAAAGCATTGATGTGAAGCCAGTGAACAGCTCTGGGCTTATCTGACTCCAGTCAGGGTAAATTCAGTGTCAGGTGAATCAGAGCCTGACCTTTAATTTGGGACCACTCTCCAAGCCATGCAGGTAATCATTAAACAAATGTTTGGGGTCAGGCTCATAACTCATACAATTTTATGAAATTAAATATTCTCTTTTCCAGGATCTATACCCAGTGAGTCTGCTCAGTAGATACAATTGACTCCCTGGCTTCTATCCCTGAGGATATTTTTCAGATGACAATGTCAAACCTATTCCCATGCAAGTCCAGTTGCATAAGAGAATCCTGTCTCTTTTCCATCCTAGATTTTTTTATGCAGCTAAGGTATGATACAACCTATCAGCTTTGGGGGTGTTTTCTGTTTGTGAGCTAGATGTTTTAGATCAAATTATTGTTTGTTTAGAGCTCTATATGACTGATAGCTATCTAGAGCTGGAAATGTATTCAGATGATGAGGTGTGGGTGTCCACCCCAGGATGAAATCAACAGCTTTCTCAGTGACTCGGCCAATTATCTCTCTGTTAAAGTAATAGAAGCCCTCGAACTTCTCTTAAATGTAGAGCATCTACATTATAGAAACAGAGCTGAGCAGGTTGAATATCATCTGTGTCTATCAGGCAAGTTTATATTTAATGTCCCCAATGGACTAATCAATTAAAATTGGAATGAGCAAACCTAACACATGTGAGAAGAATTAATCCCTTCTCAAAATGTGATAGAAGGATCTTAATGAGACAGAGAGTTGTTAGTGATGCCTCTCCTTACTGTATTGTCAGAGTGTGCTACATGGTGTTACCCCTCCATGTTGGAGCATTTGGGAAGAAGCAGCTGGTTGGCTTGAATACCATCCTCTCCCTGAGGGATTCAAATCCATGTCTCTAGAGAGTCAGCCTAAACAGCGGATGGTCTGTTCTGAGAGCAGATGCTTTCCATCTCATCTCCCAGAGAGGTGCCAGCTATTGCAGCAAGAACTTCCAAGTTTATTGCACCATAAAAAGGTAATTGAGTTTCTTCCTGAGCAATCCATTATGTTGTCTTACAGGAAATGTCATTCTATTTTGTGAGGAACCTGATCCCATAATTTATCAGTGGGCAGGTATTTTTTATCAATTAGCTATTCCCTGATATAACATTTGATAGCCTGACACTTCCACTGACCTATTTCAAAAGACTGGAATTGCCACACCTGCATTTTGTGCCTGCACCTAGCTTTCACTGCCTTGGAGAGCCTGTCATGTACAAAGGCAGAGGACAGCTGAATTGCTGGTCATAAGCTGGCTTGGGCCAAATCACTTGGCTTTCTAACATTGTTGCTCTTTTAGGCACGCATTTAAATTCAGAACATGTGGGGAGCATGCAGAGTTTTAACAGTTATGCAGAAACTGAGGAAAGATTATGAGAATCTCAGATTTGGATTTATATGTACAAGTAGATATGCAAGTGCTTTTTAGGCTTCTGCCCAAGATGTTATTGTAACTACTAAAAATAATTCATGACATCTGTCTTCAGGCAGAGTTTTAAATTACAGCTGCTTCTCATTCATAAACTTTCACGTGTGTGTGTATGTTCAGGGTAAATACATTCTTCAAACCTTTATTGATTTCTGGGATGAACAGATCTGACAGTAAGAGGAGACAGAACTGCTAACTTCTGCAAGCTTCCAAGATTTAATGTATTTTCTATAATCCATGAGAGTATTAAAAGACCAGCCTTAGCCTATTAATTATCAGC